TGCTGACTATGATCGTGATGCTGTTGCGTATACTGTTAATGGCGAGGTTGAATTCAATGATGGCAGTGTTGGTGAAGTTGAGGATGATGATGCTGATGATGCTGCTGATGGTGATGATGATCATCATGATCGTCATGATGTTGCGTATGATGGTGGAAATGTTGCCACTGGTGATGCTTGAGATGATGATTATGCTGCTGCTGACGATGATGATGATGTTCGGGATGCTCATGGTGATTGCGACGATGATGATGATGATGATGATGATGATGATGATGACGATGCTGATGATGAGGATGCTGGTGATGCCGATGCTGATGGTGATGGTGATGATGGTGATGACGCTGGTGGCGCTGATGGTACTGATGATGGTGCTGATGATGATCACCATCATCATTGGGATGATGATGATACTGCTGCTCTTGCTGATGCCGATAGTGTTAATGAGGATGCTGATCATTATGGTGATGATTATGATGATGGTTCTGATGACGATCCTGATAATGAGTTGACAGAGGATGAACTTTTTGATGATGGTGTCAATGATTATGATGCTGGTAATGATGATGAAGATGGTGATGATGCTGCTGATGATGGTGATGACGATGATGATCATGCTGATGATGATGATTGTGTTGCTGGTGGTGGTGATCATGGCGACGATGATGATGAAGATAAAGATGATGATGATGATGATGATGATGATGCTGATGCTGATGCTGATGCTGATGATGATGATGATGCTGATGCTGATGCTGATGCTGATGCTGATGATGATGATGATGATGCTGATGATGATGATGATGATGATGATGTTGATGATGATGATGATGATGATGATGTTGATGATGATGATGATGATGATGATGATGTGACCAGGCAGGCATAGGATGAGGACACATCATTCCAGAGCGTTTCGGAACGCTTCGGGACGTCCCTGGCGCCCAGCATATTTTCCAGCCAGACCCGCCAGTTCCAGAGATTCTCGATGTATCTCCGTCCGGCTTTGTCTTCCTATCTTCGTCTTGTATTCGGAGTTTTGCGCGACAAGTGGCCTTCTTCACCAACATCCCGGGGATCTTTAGACAACATCCACCTCGTAGGGTGCAAGGGAGTCGTTGACGACGAGTTGCAAGTCGTGGTTTTTTGGCAGAGCGCGAAGGTCCAGAACTTGTTCAGCCAATCGCGCTGCCGCGCGCATCCGCCACCGCCTTGTGGGAGAGGGGGGGAAGGGGGGAGAGGGGGGGCGGGGTTCGGCTACACGGAGGGGGAGGGGGAAGGGGGGACGGGGGGAGGGGAGGGGAGGGGAGGGGGGAAGGGACAGGCTAGATGCGCTCGCATCATACCTGACGTCCTACAACTCCCTCCCATCCCTTACCATGGCGTAGATCTCCTCTCTACTTGCAAAGTCGGATGTCGTAGCATGGCATAGCATTCCATTGCATAGCATGGTGTTGAAGATCAACGCGTAGCATGACGTAGCATGGCGTGGCGACGCCCCACAGTGGGGGGGGGCTTCTGCGACACAAAAATCAACGAATCGACACCGAATGTGTAATTACACCCGACTGTTTTTTGGGGAGGGCATTTTTTTGATTTTGGTGCCTATTCGGAAGGACCGAGAACAATGCCGTGGCATGGCGCTGGGAAATATGACGCCAGCGCTGCAGCGGGAGCACGATTCGGAACGAGCGTAAGCGTGGAAATGAGGCTAGCGCTGCAGCGGGAGCACGATTCGGAACGAGCGGAAGCCTGAAAATGATGCCATCGCTGCAGCGAGAGCAACAAACCAAGTTTCCGGGAATCTTGCGTCAAAAAAAACAGTACGCGGAGGGGGGCCAGACATCTTCCGGACGTCATCAGGGGAGAGAGGAGAGTAGTATTCATACTGTGTAATTGTGGAGGTGAGGGGAGGGGGAGGGAGGAAGGTGGGAGGAGAGGGGGAGGGAGGGGGGGAGGTAGGTGGGAGGAAGGTGGAAGGAGGGGGGTGACCCGTTCGCCAGCGTGTCCCGCCCCCCGTTGACACCGCTCGCAACGGCCGGCAAGCCGCGCACCAAAGGTCACCTCTTGCCCAGGGTCTCTCTTACGTGTAGCCGAGAGTGGTGGTGGTTCCTCGAGCTGTTCTTGTGCACGCCGCACCATCCCCACCCCAGGTCAGATTTCAACCCACGGGGCCATCGTCAGTAAACTAAAACCACGCCCCAGGGAGGGAATTCTGTATACCAAAGGACCCTCGCCCACCCCCTTGGGCTTTTTTGGGGCATAGTACACAAACTTTTCAGTCGGAGTGGTGGCGGCGAGGGAGGGGGGCGCCTGGTATCAAGCAGTGGAGAAGGTTCCAGGCTCGCCTATAGCCCTACCAAACAATGTTATGATAACCTTTTGTGGTTTGCACGACATGCTCTTAAAACATTTCTGGCTGAGCCTGTCTTGCTTTAACACATCGGGTTTATGTTCTAAGAACATGGTTTTTGTTCTTAGAACATTTTGGGGTTCTAAGAAAATTTCGTGGTAGGCCTCTTAGAAATGCCGGGACGGTCGGTCCCTGCTCAACGGTACGGAAGGTTCACGGAATGCCCCACCAGCAATTTCGCGTTTGGCCCCCCATCCCACGCGGGCGGCAGCAGGCAGGGACCAGGATGGACGCATGCTCAGGGCTCGATGCGTCGGCCGGGCCGACTCGGAGACAGACGATGACAACGAAGGGAGACACCTCTGAGGAACTGGGGGCCGACACCGAACTCTGCGCAGCGCGGTAGTGGACAGCACTGGTGTGATGGGCCTGTTTATACCACCACTACCATAAGTTGGAGGGGAGGGGGTCCTCCTCCTCCTCCTCCTCCTCCTCCTCCTCCTCCTCCTTTTCATCCTCCTCCTCCTCGTCCTCCTCCTACTCGTTCTCCACCTCCTTCCCCCCTCCAACTTATGGTGGTGGTGGTGGTGCAAAACATGCCCATCATGGTGGTGGGGGTAGCATGGGTCTCCTTGGAAGATGATCCGGTCATCCAAGCGGGCAGATCACAATAATTCGGGATGTTCGGATGTGCGAGGGGACGCCCAAGGCGTCCAAGGATGCCGAGCCAGCTGCTGCCAAGGGATCCCGAGGTCAGGGGCTGCCAGAGGTGTGCCAAGGCCCACTGTGTCCCCGCGGTGGGTGCTTCGCGGATGCCACGGACACCTCCTGGTGGAAGTACTTCAGGAGGGGAAAAAACACGCAGACACAATTAATCGTCGACTCCCGGAAAATATGGGAAGTGTGGGGGGGGAGAAAGAAACCCCGAACACATAGGGAATATGGGGAATCCTGTCGTTTGTGTCTATTTATTTGTGTGTCCCTGGGCCCCGTTACTCCTGGAGGCCCTTGGGTCGAGGTAACCAGCAATCCCCGACCGAGGGGCCCTGTGGCGCACGCACGCGGCGGGGAATATCGGGGCCATGGACTGTTGCGGATCGAGCCTCAAGCGACCAGAAGACATGAGCGTTCCAGACATGGCTTCGCCGTCGGCGAGTCTCGCCCTTGGCGGAAGCCGGCGGAAGGCTGACGGAGGCTGGCGGAATTGAAACGGCGGTGGGTCCCCTGGCGGAAGGTTGGCTTAATCCCGCGGAAGTAAGTGTTAGAAGTCAGTATTTATTTGGTTCCGGGTTTCTGGATTTTGCCATTTGATGAGCAGGTCCGTACCTTATCAGCCCTGAGCAACGCCAGCTCGGAGTGTGCCAGGAGAAGTCGTTATCATGTGGGCTCTGTGTAGAAGTAAATGGGGGCGAAGCCGCACCATGGGCGTCAGGGCTCGATCCTTGAACTCGTCACAGTGTACGAGGATGCCCGCAAGATGGAGTGAATTTGGGATCGGAGAGGCAGAGGAGGAACACATGAGCAAGAGGAGGGAGAACAAATGAGCAAGATAAAGGAAGGATACGGAACAGGAGGGCGAGGATGATGATGAGAAGGAGGCGATAGGGAGGAGGACAGGGAGTAACAACATATTAGAAAGAACATGAGGAACAGGACAAGGACCAGCGATGTGCTGTGCTCGAGGACAAGAGGGAGTGGAGCTGCATGGAAGAGGCGCAGGGGGGAGGAGGAGGAGGAGGAGGAGGAGGAGGGACCACGCAGGAGTTCTCTACACGACCTGCTGGAACCCTGAAGGCCTCCGCGCGCACGATACGTACTCCTTCGTTCACGCTTCAGCATCGTCTCCATCTGCAACGCTTCATGCTGATTGGGGTCACAGCAATTTCTCACTTGACCTTCTGTGTTCGTTTCGGGTTGACTTTGCGCGCCGAGGCACTTACCGACTGAAATCGCGGGCAGCCGACTTGGCGAGGACACGGTTTGCCAGCGAGGGTCTCTGTGATTTCGGTTGCTGTCCTTGCGCGTCCCTCCTCTCATCTCGAGCTGCTTTTGCATCTTATAGCTCGTCCCTACAGGGGGGGGGGATGCATCACTTGCCGAGAATGAGATACCACCTCTCACCGAGCGCATCCTCCTGGACCCCCCCCCGGTCGGTAGATTTAACGTGTCACCCTCTCGTCGCACGACTTCCAGTTCTTGTCACGGAGCTCGCCTGTGCCTGCGGCGCCGCGATGTGTTACCGAGGTCCCCTTCCCCCCCTCCCACGACGGTTTTTCTTTGCAAGGGCGCCTGCCCCCCTGCCTCGCGGACCTCCCTTGGCCTCAGCGCACCATCGCATCCCGCCGACTGCCAGTTCGGGATGTTTGCCTGTGGAGGCGGTGCAAGAAGGTGACGAGCAGCGCGCCGGCGTCCAGACTTGCGGGGCCGCGCGCGTCTGTCGAAGAGTGTGCACGTGTGCTCTCTACGCTAGGCCTGCAAAAGTTCGGAGATTCCGAGTTCGTGGGCGCGGTGCCCACCATTGCTCTCGTCGGTGTCTCTGGCGTAGCTCGGCCACCGCGGCAAGCGTTGCGCTTTTCGCCGCCCACGGTAGGACACCACCAACTCGCTGGTGAACGCGTTCCACCGCATGGACGAGCTGCTTGTCCCTGGGGAGAGGGCCTCCATCCTCCCTCGTCCCTGCTCGCTTTCCTGATCCCTCCCCTTCCATACCCGCAACACTCTGTACTTTCTCGCCCTCCTTCCCTTCTGCCTCCCTCGTGCTGCTCCTCACTCCCTACCTCCTCCCTCTTCTCCGCCTCTCCCTCGCCGTCCCTGGTGGCCCTCACCCCAGCTGGCGTCTGGCGGGGGTGCAAGGGCCAGGGGGGCTTCTCCTTCTTCGGATCGAGAACGCTGGGCTCGGAGTTGCGGCTCTGCCCTTTTGTGGGCCGGGGGGGCGCTCCTGTTCGTGTCTCCTTCCTCGGATCGAGAGCGCGCTGGGATCGGAGCTGCGGCCCCCCCGCGTCCCCCCCCCATCCCCTTCTGCAGGACCGTGCCTGCCAGCACGCCCCGCAGGCTTGTGTTGTCCCCCTCCTCCTCCCCCGCCGGCCCCGCCCCTCCCCGCAGCGAGAGCCCCGCGCCGCGCCCGGCTCGTGGAGGGGCGCCCGCAGGGCCGCGCACGCTGCGGGGGGGCGACGGGCGTGGCCCGGGCGTCCGGGAGACGAGCGCGGCTCCTCCCCTGACGTCTCCGCCGCCGTCCCGAAGGGAAAGCCACGACTGCTTGTGAATATAAATATGTGCTGTTGCCATATACTTGGGTACATATAATCATAATGTGTATTTGTATGTGTATATATATATACACGTATGTATATATATACATATATATATATATATGTATATGCGTAGCATCCCGCAGATGCGGGTAAGAGTGAGGGGACGGCGGGGACGTCGGCAGTCTGCGAGACTTTGGAGAAGCCCGCTGCAGGCGTCAAAGTTTCACAAATTATACAACGAGTCCGCCGCAGGCGCCGATTTTTTCTTCAAACCAATATGGATCGGTCGCGGGTGGGTCGCGGGTGGGTCGCGGGGTTGGTCGCGGGTGGGTCGCAAGTAGGTCGCGGGTGGGTCGCGGGTGGGTCGCGGTGGGTCGCGGGTGGGTCGCGGGTGGGTCGCGGGTGGGGTGCAGGTGGGTCGCGGGTGGGTCGCGGGTAGGTCGCGGGGTTGGTCGCGGGTGGGTCGCAAGTAGGTCGCGGGTGGGTCGCGGGGTGGGTCGCGGGTGGGTCGCGGGGTTGGTCGCGGGTGGGGTCGCGGGTGGGTCGCGGGGTGGGTCGCGGGGTGGGTCGCGGGGTTGGTCGCGGGTGGGTCGCGGGGTGGGTCGCGGGTGGGTCGCGGGGGGGACGACAACAAACAGCAACAACAACAACAACAACAACAACAACAATCACTTTACCCGAACGCTCAGTGTTCTCACCAGTGCCAGGGTTTTCATGCGACGCCAGCCAATACCCCCACTTTGTGGGGGGGCAGTGCAAGCTCTACCAAATATCCACACGACTCTTCGCCACCACCCACACCCAGCTTCCCGCCCTATGACGTTCGGACACTTCACTTCGTGGCCTGCGGACGACCGTGGCTACTACACTGGCGTGGAGTACACACCCACAGAAGTTGTTAAGCCTACGTTCGTACACCCACAGAAGTTGTTAAGCCTTGTTAACCCACAGAAGTTGTTAAGCCTTCCACAGAACATCTGTTGCATATGATGCATATGGTACATATGATGCATATGCATATGATGCTTTTTGGAGATTTCGGCGTGCGCGCGAGAAGAAAAAACGAATGTGTCCCGCATGGTATTATTTGACAGGGATGATGGCCCTGGCAGGTGCGCAACCGTTGTCGCAGAAGTTCGAAAAAGTTGCTCGCAAAAGCCCGTTTGACAGAAATGTTTAAAAAGTGTTGGTTTTCCTACGAATCCGCAAGAGCGCGCGGGATGAGATTTTGACATTTTTTTGTTGAAAAACCATTGGTTTTTTGATGTTTTTATGTTAAAATCGCTCCGAACACTAAGCTTTTGGAAGGATTTCGTCTTGCGCGCGCGAATGTCCACTTTACCTTATTTTTTGCAAGGGATTCTTGAAATTTGATTATATTAGAACAAGAAATGTCATTTTATAGTGTTTTTTGCAAGGGAAAGCGGATTACAACAAAACAACCGGATCTGGATCACATCGTTTTACTTGAGGCTTCCTCACGAAAATGATGAAAACGTGGCTGCGGCCTAGGCGCGGCGGGGGGGGCGTGCACCAGGGGGCCCAACAATAATTATTCTTTAGAAGTAATAATATTCAACAACAACAACAACAGCAACAGCAACAACAACAACAACAACACCAACAACAACAACACCAACAACAACACCAACAACAACAACAACGACGACGACGACGACAACAACAACCACAACAACCACAACCACAACCACAACCACAACCTCAACCACAACCACAACCACAACAACAACATCAACACCATCAACAACACCAACAACGACAACTACACCAACAACAACACCAACAGCAACATCAACAACAACAACAGCGACAACAGCAACCAACATTAACACCAACGACGACGACGACGACAACAACAACAATGCAACAAGCATAATCCTCACCACGGATTCTCGCTTCAGCCACGCACCCAGAGTTAAGGAATGACAGCTCGGCCCTCTCATTCTGATATACGTATGCACACATATATATATATAGATGTGTATTGCCGCGAGAACGTGTATATATGTGTGTGTGTGTACTGCCGCGAGAAGCCCCATCAAACATTTGGCAACTTGGGTGCTCAGCCCCTTAAAGGCCCTTGATGGGCCTGTTTTCCACCATCACCGCCACCATAAGTTGGAGAGGGAGGAGGAGGAGGAGGACGAGGAGGAGGATCAGTTGGAGGAGCAGGAGGAGGAGGACGAGGAGGAGGAGGTGGAGGAGGATGAGGAGGAGGACCTCCTCCCCCTCCAACTTATGGTGGTGGTGGTGGTAAAGATGCCCATCAACTCTTCATGGTTGAGGACTGAGGCTGACGGGATTAGGCGAAGGACCTGAGCAAACGCCCACTCCGTGCCCAGAGGCACGGTGGCGAGTATGTGTTTGTCGGTGGTTTTGCTGTTCTCGTTGTTCTCGTTGTTGCCACTTTGGGGCCTCCGGGGCCCCTGCTGGGCCGCGGGATTGTCAGAAAACGCTTCGTGATGAAAAGCTGGTCCCTGGGAAGGGGTCCAGACCTCTGGGGAGCCACGCCGTGAAAGAAGAACGGCGTCGGGTGTCTGGGTCGTAAAGGATGCCCCAGGCCTCGGACGATGAGATTTTGTTTCGCAGCGTGGCTCCGGGCGGCCTGGGCCCTTTCTCGGGACCATCTTTCGACCCCAAGTCGTCTGCTAAGAAGGTCCCGAGGCCTGGCGAAAGCTTTTGGAGTCAGAGAATTGTCAACAATTGCCCGTTGTGTTTTTGCACTCTCGAGCATGTCAGGGTCTGCGGCGAGAGTCGCAGTTCGAGAATCCGCGTAGTTGCTGAATTTCTTGCTGGCCGAGTGTTCGCGGCCGGAGGTCAGAGCCGCATCGTGACGGCAGTTCGCCCTCCGTCCTGGGCCGCTGTTGGATGTCTTGGTTCAGGGTTGTAAGCGTCCGAAGCGCCCTGCCCTCCCTGCCGCACACGGACACGTGTGGGCCACACGTGTCGTCACAGACATGTGGCCCACACGTGACGACACGAATGGGGCATCGGGAGTAGACCGTCCACGGTGTGGCGTCAAAGGAGTTTTTCTGTTCCCGATGCTCCTCAGGACTTGCGTTCGCCAGCTTCCACCGATGGCACACATTCTGAGTCAGCCCCGCATTGCACCGCATGGGGCGTGTTGGCGGGCTTCGATGGACAAGCACTCGCTGGCGCTAACTAACACACTTTCTGGGGATCGTGGGTACTTCGAAGGAAGAGAGATGAAGGAGCAGAGGATGGCATCAGGAAAGCCAGACATAAGGTCGCGACACGGAATCGCTTGAAGTTAGGAATGTGTTGTTCTTTTACATGTGGCTGTGGGGACTGTCATGCTGAAAGGAGAAAGGAGTGCGAGTGGAGACTGGTCACCTTCCCACTAGTTGGACGGCTTCGTTATTATGTGTTTTTTTTGAATTCGGTCCGTGGCCATGTGAATTAGATGGTATAGTTCCATCGTGTGGTCGAATGCTGTTTTGTAGCCAGGTCGGTCAGACCAACCAGTACCCTGACACATATGATCCCTCTTATCGGCACCCTGCTGAAGGCCCCCCCCCAGACTCTTGTGCTATGCTATGATAGTGCTGGCCACCTCGTGCTGGAAGAAGTCGACGAGCTAGGCACTTTTCAGACTGTTCCGAGCAAGCAGGATCCTCCAGCTGTGCAAGCTATGTGTAGAGGCAGTGTGCTGTCAGCTTGCTCCGTCGTCTAGTACTGCCAGAGGAGCGGTGCTTGATCTTGCCGAGCCCGCCTTAGAGTGGTGATTTGTGCCGCTTGATCCCTTTCTGCGAGGATCAGATCGTGCTCGGAGAAGGAGGAGAATGACCAGGAGGAGGTGAGGTGTTCGCAGAAGGTGCGAGGAGGAGGAGGTGGAGGAGGAGAAGGAGGAGGAGGAGAAGGATGATGAGGAGGAGGAGGGGGAACAATCATTCAGAGGAGGAAAGGTTGTCGGAGAAGTTTCGTTGAGGAGGATGTGGATGAACAGGAGGACACGAGCCAGGAGGGGGTGAGGCTTCTGCAGAGGATTCGACAAGAAGGACAGTGAGGAGGAGGAGGAGGAGGAGGAGGAAGACGAGGAGGAGGAGGAGGAGGAGGAGGAGGAGGAGGAGGAGGAGGAGGAGGAGCAGGAGGGGCAGGCGGTTCGGCGAGGAGGAGGAGGAGGAGGAGGAGGAGGAGGAGGAGGATCAGGCTTATTCGTGCTGGCCTCGGTCAGACCCGGCAGCAGCCGCGCGGTCTCCAGGTCAGCCCCGACAGCCAGCAGGAGCTGGTCGCCCTGTCCAACGGCGCTTCCACGGCCCGCGCAGCCCGGGGCCGGACACCCCCCCGAGGGGGGATGCGAAAGGAACACCGCACGGGGTGCGGGCGGGCAGGAGCAGACAGGCAAGGGGGGATGCGCAGAAGCACACCACGAGGGGATGCGGACAGAACGCCACAGAGGGATGCGGGAAAACAGGGAGACCACCGCAAGGGGGTGCGGACGAAAACGCCACCAGGGGAGGCGGACCAACACACCACAAGGGGGATGCGGATGAAGACACCACAAGGCGACACCACAAGGAGAGCAGGAAAAAGATGAGCGTATGTGGAATAACGAAAAATACTCGGGGGCGCGGAAACACACACACACACACACGAGCGGATGCGGAATCTACTACACCGCTTCTACGGCCCACGGCGCCGCCCCGTGCCGCCCGCCCACCCCCCTGGGCAGTCGTCCACATTAGGCATCGAGGGGGCGGGCAGAGCAGGAACCTGGAGTAATCCCCCGCCTCTTCCCGTTGTGAAGAGCACGACGGGAGGCTTTCGAAGGTTTTCGGCCTCTAGGGGGTCCTTGCCAGGCCCCAGGATGTCAAAACTATGCAGGATGCAAAGGCGAATCCGGTCCGGGGAAAAAGGTCCACACCTCCTGGGGTCCGCGGTGTCGGCGTGAGACACACACGAGGTCGGAGTTCTGGACTTGAGCAGCATTCGCGCACAACATATAGTTGGAACACACTTCCTCCTTCCCGAACGCAATGCTGGCTTTGGGTCTTACGAGGTCTGGGTGTCCGAGTGGTCTTACGGCAAAGTGCCAGCACTGGCCGATCCCAACCTTCCTGTAGTGGACTCTCATTTGAAGTAAACCACTGTTGTCCACACCGTCTCCTCTCCCGCCTCCCCCCTCTTTGTTTCCTCCCTGCTTCTTCTCTCCTCATGCCGTCTGCCTCCTCATCCAGCGCTGCTCCTTGGGTGGCTGCAGACTGCGCAAAAATCTCCTCTTTCGTGGGCTCCTGTGAGGTCCAGCGGAGTCGGGGGCCACGCGGACCTCGAAGAGACCACGCTGCTCCCTGGGGGGGCTGCGAACTGCGCAGTTGCCGCCACTTTCGTGCTCCTGGGATGCACGGCGGAGTCTGGGAGGACGCGCACCCAGCCGAGATATCGCTGCTCCCTGGGGGACTGCGAACTGCGCAGCCGTCGCGTCTTGCTTGTGCTCTTGGGAGACACGGCGGAGTCGGGGAGTACGCAGACCCAGCCGAGAGCTCGCTGCTCCCTGGGAGGCTGCGAACTGCGCAGTTGTCGCAACTTGAGTGGGCTCCTGGGCGGCGGTACGGCGGAGTCGGCCACGCGTGTCCAGCCGAGACCTCGCTGCTCCCTGGGAGGCTGCAAACTGCGCAGTCGTCGCCACTTTCGTGGGCTCTTGGGAGGTCCAGCGGAGTCGGGCAGCGCGCGCACACAGACGGGAACATCGCTGCTCCCTGGGAGCCTGCAAACTGCGCAGTTGTCGCCACTTTCGTCGGCTCCTGTGAGGTCCAGCGGAGTCAGAGGCCACGCGCACACAGACGAGACATCGCTGCTCTCTGGGTGGCTGCGAGCTGAGCAACTGTTGCCCACTTTCGTGGGCCTATGGGAGGTCCAGCGGGGTCGGGAGGGGGGGGGCACGCGCATACATACGGGAACTTCGCTGCTTCTTGGGGAGGCTACGAACTGCGCAGCTGTCGCCACTTTCGTGGGCTCGGAGGTCCAGTGGAGCCGGGGGCCACGCGCATCCAGTCGAGAGCTCGCTGCTCCCTGGGAGGCTGCGAACTACGCAGTTGCCGCCACTTTCGTGGACAGTGGGTTTCCGCGAGGTCCAGTGGAGTCGGGGGGCACGCGCACCCAGCCAAGACCTCGCTGCTCCCTGGGAGGCTGCGAACTGCGCAACTGGCGCGAGTGTCGTCGGCTCCAGGGAGGTCCAGCGTGGTCGCGGCCACGCACACTAGGACGGGACCTCGCTGCTCCTTGGGTGGCTGACCACTTCTGTCAGCACGCGGCGCTGTTGCATCACAAAGCGCAGGACGTTGGAGCGCCACGTAAAGCATGGCGCTGTCCTCAGTGGCCCACCCCCCCTCCTCAGGTGCCCGTCACTAGCGGCAGCACGGGCGAACCGAGCAGATGTAGCGCATGGCGCTGCTACTCTCACCAGCGTCTCTCCCTCTTTCCTAGCAGTCCTTCTTGGCCTCCTCATGCTCTTCCTTCTCCTGCTCTTCGTCCTACTGCTGTTCCTCCTCCTTCTCTTCCTTCTCCTCCTCCTCCTCCTCCTTCTCCTTCTCCTCCTCCTCCTCCTCCTCTGTTGGCCCTGGAGCTCTGTTGCGCAGGTGTGCGACGTGTGTGGTCCGACATTGCATCGTCTTCCCGGGTGTTACGTGTCGCAATGTGCTTGTTTTGTATGAAGCGTTCACGTTTGTGGCCGCTTCACGTGCAGAAGGGCTTGGGCACGTCTCGGGCAGTTGCTTGGGAGGGAGGAGCACCTGTTCCCAACCCTCCTGTGCGCTTGTTTTTTTGTGAATGGGGCACTGTGGTCTACACTCCTCCTCCTAGTCTCCTCCTCCTCGTCCTTTTTCCTTCTCCTCCATTCCCCCTCTTTCTCCTGCAAGCTGCGCGACATTGCGCAACTCTCATCGTTTTCGTTGACTCCTGGGAGGTCCAGCGGAGTCGGGCACCACGCGGGCCCATTTGGGACCTCGCTGCTCCCTGGGACGCTGCGGAGTGCGCAATTGTAGTGCCTTTCGTGGGCTCCTCGGGGATCAGGCGGAGTCGGGGGTCACGCGCATCCAGCCGAGACCTCGCTGATCGCCGGGAGGGTGCGGATTGCGCACTTGGCGCTACTCGAGTAGGCTCCTGGGAGGCACAGCGAAGTCGGGGGCCATGCGCACCCAAACGTGACCTCGCTGCTCCCTGGAAGGCTGCGAACAGCGCAACTGGCGCGAGTGTCGTCGGCTCCTGAGCGTCACAGCGGAGTAGGGGAGTACGCGCATCCAGCCGGGACCTCGCTGCTCCCTGGGTGGCTGCGAACTGCGCAATTCTCGCTTTGTCTTGGGCTCCTGGGAGGTCTAGTGGAGTCGGGTGCCAAGCGCATCTAGCCGAGAGCTCACTGCTCCCTGGGAGGCTGCAACCTGCGCTGTTGTCGCCACTTTCGTGGGCTCATGCGAGGTCCAGCGGAGTCGGAGGCCACGCGGACCCAGATGAGTCCTCGCTGCTCCCTGGGAGGCTGCCAACTGCGCAGTTGTCGCCACTTTCGTGGGCTCTTGGGAGGTCCAGCGGGGTCGGGAAGCGCGCGCACACGGACGGGAACATCGCTGCTCCCTGGGAGGCTGCCAACTGCGCAGCTGTCGCCACTTTGGTGGGTTCTTGGGAGGCGCGGCGCAGATGAAGGCAGCCCAGATTTTGCAATATATGGCGATATTTTCTTTTGTATGGAGCGTTCATACAAAGATTCGTTCCACGTGGGGAAGTGTTTGTGTACTTCTCGGGTTTTTCATTTTGCCATCCACGAGATCTTGAGTCTCTGAGTTTCGAGGGTCTGGGCGCGTTTGGTCTTATTGGGGCCTCCCGGGGGCGCCCGCGTGGCCGCGGCTAGACTCCCTCCGGCATTCTGGTGGAAGCGCCCCCGTGGACAGGTCCAAGCACCGACGCTTGATCCCTGGACGGGGTTCGCAACAAAAAGTGCCAGGGCCCTCCGCGGGCCCAGGGAGAGAAACCGCGGATTCGGGATGACCAGTCTTACCCGGAGAGAACGGCCTGGGGCCCAGGACCTGCCAAGCCGTGTTCTTCGGGACCCTCCTGCACGGCAGCATCGAGAGGACAGTCGAGGATCGAGGATTCGCGCAGGTGTCGGCGTTGTTGAGCTTCGCCCTCGTCAACACGGCTGGATCCGCGACGGGATTCTGGTTGGATCGCGCGCCAGGGGAGGGCGCGGCAACGTGGTCCTCCATCAGACACGGCGGCAGGTGAGCGCAGCGCCGCTGTCACGCCGCGGCGGCACCTGCTGCGCGCGAGGTGCGGGATGTGTAGACATCCGACGATGTGCTTCGATCAGTCCGTCGGCCCAGAAGATCTCGGGCCGAAAAGACCGCCCAACCGCCCCGTGGCGGTCGAGGTCGACTTCGACCGGGAGGGTTGGAAGGAGCAGTGCGCTGGGCTGCCTGGGAGGGCCCGATGGGGTCCTGGGCGTGTTTGGGCCTCTCTGGGGCCCTCGGACCCGCCGCGCCCAGCGGGGCACTTTACCGCAGGCTCTTCCGACCCCCGTCCCCTTCCCCTCCCCCTCCCTGTCCGCCCCTTCCCCCTCCCCCTCCTCCTCATCCTCCTCCTCCTCCTCTCTCCTCCTCCTCCTCCTCCTCCTCCTCCTCCTCCTCCTCCTCCTCCTCCTCCTCCTCCTCCTCCTCCCTCTCCTCCTCCTCCTCCTCCTCCTCCTCCTCCTCCTCCTCCTCCTCCTCCTCCTCCTCCTCCTCCTCCCCCATTCGAGCTTCGAGCTGAGGGCCTGCTCGCCGCGGGATACCGAAGCCCGCGCGCCTCTCCGCCCCGGCCAAAAGCCAGGGGGATAGAAGGACCGCCAAGTGATTTTGCGCGCAAGCAAGAGTAAACAAAATGACCAGGCGGCGAGAAAGAGGTCCTCCTCCTCCTCCTCCTCCTCCTCCTCCTCCTTCTCCTGGTCCGCAGACTTCCAGCGGCCGCTAGAAATATGCTGAGGAGGAGGAGGAATAGGAGGAGGAGAAGGAGGAGGAATTTGAACAAGTCATTCCAGATTGGCGTCTGCAACCTGTATGCTTCCATGCATTTTGGCATCCGTCATGCCCGAGGAGCCATGGCAAGAGCTCGTAGGCATGACCAGATGTCTCGTCGCAGAGCGGACTGGCCGTTCCCGGCAGGCGATGGTGCGCCGGCGCCGCTGGCGAAGGCGTTCAAGGTTGAATCTTGCGACGCGGAAGCACCGAGGGGTACGGTGACGCCACTGGGCCCCACGGAATTCAGCCTTGGACGATGGGGGCAGCGATCGATTTACGGTTGAACGATCGACGCGGCGTCAAAAACCTATGCGCGCGCCGACGCCTTACCGTACCGTGCTTGACATGCATCCCGAGACAGTATGCTCATTCC